GCTGCGCCGCTCGGTTTACTGGAAAGGACAGTTTATTAAAAAAGGCTCCGATACTTCGCCGAATCTGACGATGGCCATTTTTTTTGTACCGCCGCTGCAAGCGAGCAACGGCCGAGAAATACATCCGGATTGAAGTTTTCAAAATAAAAGCCTGAACTATAAGATAGGGGTTTGTGGAGTTGGAAAAAATAAACGATAAATAATAGTTATAATCGATGAAACAATAATAAGCAATAAATATAATAAAAAATAATCTCTACAAAAATGATTTATTAGCTAAAAGTGGCACAGAGTACAATAATATTAAAAAATAAACATAAATTGTTGGAATTATAGTGTTATTATTTTATTTTCCTATAAAATAGTTAAAAGTGTTTGGTTTGATCTGACATAAAACCATTTTATGAAATTAAACATTAATACGTTACACTCCAAATCAGGGCTGCACAAGGGTTAGCTGTTTGTCACATTTTACCTAGAATTTCAAACTGCGTTCACACTGCAGGCTAAAGTGACCCAAATCTGAACAACACAATCTGATCTTTTTAATTCTGATTTGAGACACTTTTATATGTCATCCAAATCAGATTCAGGTCAGATTGTTTTGCAATTTGACCTCAGTGTGAACATATATCAGAATTCATGTGACTTTTATGTGACCCTGGATCTATACGTCCGTGATGGAGGTCCCTTCACATTGGAATCTAGTTTGCGCCACATTTAACACATCATGTGTACAGCCGAACGAATAAGTCTGATCTGAGCGATAAATCAGACTTTACCACTCGCAGTGTGAACACAGCCTATAATACTCATTTAAAAAGAAAAGAAAACAGGTTTTATTGATTATTTTAGTATATTAATCCTGATTTTTTTAACCTGTATTTATTCATCTATGTATATAGTATTCCTTTGTATTATATTTTTATTTTCTTTAATTATTTGTATCACTATTACGTACTTATTCTATTTGAAAAGACTTTTGTCTAACATTACAATAAACTGTAATTACATACATTGCTGTCTTTAGTTCAGATTTAGTCCCAAGCACTTTATTTTGAAGGGGAAGCGGAAACGCCCGTTAGGGTACTGAGGTGAGCGTGACAGGTTTATTTGAAGCATGCGTCCTTGCGTCATAGACAGACGACACGAGTGTGTTCCAACTCTGTACTAACACAAAGTAGGCCAATTCACCGTGTAGTCCTGCAGTTATACATGAAGTTACAGTAACATATTGTACCGACACGCTTCCTCCAGTGTTTACTCTTCACACATTGTGTTTAAAGCTGCAGCAGGACATTTTTATTAACTATATCTTTTGTCATATTTGCTGAAACTTTCACCATATCCTGTCAGCAGAAGGTGAGACAGATAATCTGTGAAAAAATCAGGTTCCTCCGGCTCCTCTTAGTGCTCCTAATGGCATTCACAAGAATCCACCAGGCCCCGAATGAAAACAGCCAATCAGAGACGAGCCTCATTCCCAGGTTGTCATATACAGACGCTCCAGAAATGAGACTCAACAATCAACTTCAAGCAAACCCGAAATGCTACAGCCTCTGAAGGACAGGGTGGAGATGATGGGGTGGCCCCTGTTGGTGGCCAGGACCTCCCCAGGCCCCGAACCCTCTAGAAACACCCCTGCACATGTAATGCACCTTCTTCTAATCTAATGTTGTGAAGAGCACAGACCAAATACAGCCTGCTGCAGATGAATAGTGTCACTGCTTCCTCTGGTGCAGCTGTTTAAATTTAATTTTCAACTTAAGAAATCGTTTTCCAGGAACTTTCCAGGACATTTTCCAGGAGTTTTCCAGGACATTTTCCAGGAGTTTTCTCGACAGTAAAGGACCGCACTTACTCAAAAAACAGTCATATTCTTGACCGGCCTGGTATTGACAGTTTTTAACGATTAAGGGTTCTGCTCACTGAAAATAGACTTCATACCGAAGAGATTGCTGCATTTCCATCACTGGAAAACTAGTGTCTTAATTTCCAGGTTTTCCAGGACCCTGACGGAGCTGCTGTTTCCAGGTCAGTTACAAACAGCCTGGACTGAAAATAAGAAATTGCTTCAGTCGGCTGAACAGAAAACACAAACAATGGTTTTAATTAAGCCCCAATAGCACTTTTATTCAAGTTTACATCATCGAGATATATTAAAGTTAAATAATACTGCATCATCATAAAGATTACTCTTTTATAAACTGGCCACATGATAAATATCATAAATAACAGCTGACAGGATAAATATTGAGGTATTGATATGGATCATAAACGTATCAGAATGAGGAGTGAACACCTTCCTGTTTGTATGCACTGAGGTTTTATTTAAATAGACCCGTTACAGGAGATCAGGAGAAGCTGCTGATTTCTTTCTTCATTTCCTGGAAAAACAAAATGCAGAAATTATCAAATTAAATCAGCAGTCAACAGTTATTCTCCATATAAAGCTACAGAGTCACATGGTGTCTCTCTCCCTCTGCCT